GAAAGAAAGGATATATCTAGATATATAAGGAGAAAATGGAACAATTTTAGAACTAAGAGATTTCATCCTTTCACACCAAGCTTAATTCACTCACTGACAGAGGAAAACAAATGTTTTTGCTTTTTCAAATCCTAGTTTGTTTCTTAGTTTTGAATGACCTGGTTATTGAACTGAACAAAATTCTCTTCAGTTCACTCACTAATCTGAAATGAAGGAAATAATACCTTGCAGGAGGCTGTAGTTTTTAAAAGATTGTTTATAGTTTTCAAAAAACATTGGATCTAGGTGTCTAGCCAGTGCTTTCTCCGTGCTTAGCATCACAACTTTCTTGGAAACTTTCACAGACATCAGATGCTGTTTAAGTACTAGGTTTTTTATGTCTTTCAGACAAAGCAAGTAGCCTTAATGTCAGTAATAATGATTTTTTTTTCCCATACATTCATGTATGAATTTAAAAAATTAACTTCAACTGAAAAAAAAATCTGAGCCCACGCCAGAGAGGGGTGGTCTGGAGTAAAGTGAGATTGATGGGGTTTGTGCTTTTTTGGTGTCTTTGTTTGACACATCATGAGTTATTGTGGGGATTTCTCACCCTGGATGATAATTGTTGCTTTAGGGAAAACTTCATTTCCCAGAGAGAATGAAACATTTACTATACAGGACCTGGGAGCTGTTTTGGTGGGTGATGATGATTTTAAAAGTTACCTTTTCCTGTTAATAGGTGCTAACCATAGCACAGAAGCACTCAGAAACCTCCTCACAGGAAGAAGAGGAGACACATACTCCCATTTCAGCCAATGGTAAAAGTTGCTGAAGTGCTTTTTTTGCCCTGTTTTTCCTGGGCTCGTCTTTTATCTTTTCTTGTAGATCTCACTGATTGTAGTGGGCTGGCAAACAAGGTCTATTTAGTTAAAACTGCCGGGATGCAATTAAGGCAAGTTTTTCTTTACCTTTGCTGTAATTTTACGATCCATCTAGTAGGTAAATCCTCCCCTTTAGTAGTCTGTTAATAAGCAAGTTTCAAGCCATACATGAAAAGTTCATTGTGTTCTATTTCCCATAGTGCTGCCTCTCTGTTGGGTAACTTCTGGACTAGATAATTGAGTTGGAAAGGACTGTGCTCCCAAACTATTAATCTAAGTCCCCAGAACTCAGAACCTGGTTTGAAGACACAGCATTTCTTTCACGCATGCCTGTTCCAAAAGATGTGACTTCTGGTGGCACTTAAAGAAGGATTTTAACCTTTGTTCTCAAAGGATTCAAGGCTTCTGTGAACAGCCTTGTGCTTTTGAAGCAGTTCTGTTGCTAGTGCCAAAATCTTGAGGTTCTTCCCTGCTCACCTCTCGGGTGTTAGCTACTGAGTACCTTCCAAAATCAAAGACCTGAGGAGACTACTGAATAAAAGAAAGTCATTGAGATTTTTTTTTTTGTTTACTTAGCCCTGCCTGTATAGATTTATACTCATCTGCCTCGGCTGTTTGCCTTCAACAGAAATAATTGAAGTAGAACATCTCTGAATAACTGGATTCTTGTCTTGGTGTTCAGCTGCATGTACTCGCCTTAACTTGGTATGTTCAAGCTTGGATCTTTGCTTGTGGAAAATCTGATTGGTGTCCAAAGATACTGTCCAAGACACTGTCAGGGATCTACACCAATCTGGCCATGATGGTCATGCAACACTGAGGCAGGATGTAGCTGGCCCACTGTGTGTGAAGGAAGAGATGAGGTGGTGTTCTCAGGTAGCTCCTAAGAGCTTTCTCTCTCAGATACCTCACAAGGAAACTGAAAGTTTCTGCACTGTCTGTCCTATATGAAGGACAGCAGGAGCACATTTCCTAGTCTAGTGCCCAGATAGCCCCTAAGTGCCAGCTCATTCATGGGAATTCCTTGCAGATACTTAATGGGGAGAAATAGGGGTGACCAGTCTGCTCCATAATAAGCAAATGTTTTTGTTTACTTGCTTTAGGAGACGTGAGTATTACATGGACTATCTAATATGCATTAGATTTTAGGTAGTTACATATTGTTGAGGTTTTGGTGGCTTTTAGAAGGGTGTATTCTCAGGACAGTGTGAGCTGAGAGAGCTTGCTGAGGCAAGCTGGTCATGAGCCGGAGAGCAGAGAAGGACTTCCTCTGAAGTCTTCAGAAGGGGCAGGAATCCAATGCCAGATGGCTCTGGTTTGGAAAGAGCTAGTGATACTTTTTTTCTGTCTGTAAAGTCTGAGCTGGGGAAATTGTGTTGTAGACTGAAGCTAAATCTTACATCCTGAAGTGACTGCACACAGAGTTTGTACCTTGCATGGGTGGATTTGTTTCACATTTGTTTCAGATACCACCTGGGTTCACAGACTGCGCTGGGACAAGAGCAAAGAGGCATTTCAAAGATGAAACACTAGCAGCAAAACAGGCAGCCAGCAATTCAGTACTCGCTGTTACCCCAATATCCCTTTCTGGGAGAGGGATCTGGGTGATACCGAAGAAATCTACGTGCTCCCAGCCTCTTCCTTAATTTCCTGGCTGGGGTAGATCAGGAGGCAGGACTGAGTTCCTCACCAATCTGGTCTTTCCTGAAAGCACTTCCCAGCCCCATAGCAAACATATCATGAATCATTCATCTTTAATAGATTATGCAAATTGAGGACATTAGATCAATGAAGATCAATAACTGCAACCATTTAATTGCCAGCAAAAACATTTTAAGAATGAGCATTATCTGAAGTCTTTTCTTAGGTAATGGCACCATTAATCCAAACACTGGATCCTGGCCTAAGTGTAGAGGAAAAATTCTCAGCCCTTCTTCCCCTGCTGCCTTTCAGGGTGTTGAGGGCTTTTTTTCCCTTTTCATTTCCAGTTTCTGAGTTTCCCCATCATTACCACCAGTGAACAGCTCCCAACACTAATAGTTCTGCTTTTGTTACTCTGCACTGATTGAAATGTCGCATACAGATTGAGATGTTAGTGCTAAGTTGCCACCTGGGAATGTCAAGCTGGGTCTGAAATGAACTTTTCTCACTCTTGGATCCAGATGGATCAGATGGGGATGTTCTCGAGCTGAGCTGGGAGTGTTGCAGGGAACAGAGTGGGGATGGCACAGGGTAGGGGGCACATGAAGAAGATTTTCTGCCTCAGCCCACAGCCTCTTCTGTGAGGCCAAATCTGTTTCCTGCTCTCCCCTTGTGAGAGTCATGTCCAAAGTTTGTGTATGCCCCCAGCCTTCATGAATTCTCCTCTCATATTAACAGGCTGGAATGCACCATCTTCACTTAGGCAAAAGGATGAAAAGTAATTATTTTAATGGTCCCTTTGAATCTCAAACTGATTTTAGACACCTCACCTTTACATCCAGCTATGGGGATCTGCCTTCCACGAAGGAAGGACAATACTGCTCTCCTACTGGCTTTGCCCCCCAGAGACAGGAAAGTGTTTCCCGTAAGAGATGTAGATCTGCTAAATGGTAGATGGACACCAGCTGAGGTTTGTCTTGCATATGCAAATACAAAGAAAGGTGAAACAATTTTGTCACAGCTGAGCCATTTTTTTCTAGCTGGCTAAGGAACTGCATGGCTACAAGGATCCTGGATCACATCTGATAGCAGTAAAGTAAAAAGCCATGTAAAAGTAAAAAGCCATTAAAAAAGTTTGGGAATGTCACACTTTCTAGACACTCCCTAAATATGCAGTTCACCTTCCCATGGTTCTCCATGACATTTTGGAGACCTCAGGCTGGATCTTTTCTGTATCTGGGGTAACTGTTACTAATCTTGCCCAGTCCCAAAGTTCCTGGTAGCCAAAAGTTGCATGCAACAATGTGCCTTTGCTCAGTGTTTGCTGAACAAGCAATGACTGCCTGCCTCAGCCAGGAGCTGCTTTGGCCTCAGAGGCTGTAAGTTGGGGCTTCTGCAGGAAAGTGTTGAGATTAAAACCCCAGTGTTCTTGATTATGTGCCATCATAGGATGGCTTTTTGGCCAAGAGGCAACAGCTCCTTCCCTTGCTAACAAGACTTACACCTCTGTCACGAGCCATTTCCCAACTTGCACCACAGGGTTTCTAGAGGGGCCACAGCAGTTGCAGAGAAAGGGGGATGTGTTAAACAGGGATGAATCACTTGGGCCTTGCCAGCTGCTCTCGCTGCTCAGGATGAGATGTTCAAATCTCTGCTAGCTGTGTGAGCAGGGATAACGGAAGCCTGAGAAAGGCCGTGGCACCAGGATGTCTCCTTGTGGCTCCAGACACACACGGGGCCAGCAGTCTAACTGTAGTACCAGGATGGCGTGCCCCGTGGCCCCAGGACAGCTCTGTGCCACTCAGGTCCTGCCCGTGCCACCAGCAAAGAGGTTTCTATGCAGCAATTGCCTCCTATTCTGTGCATCCTGATTCCACTACTGGCTAGCACTTGCTCTCATTTCCTACTCTCCCAGTCACACCTGAGTTTAATGTGCCTACACTTGAGGGAAGGGGGAAAGCTGTGAACTAATTTCCTTTCCCAGCTGTTGTTGTTAGAGACTCAGGGGCTTAAGGAAGAGGGAGTTGGGCAGTCACAATTCAGCAGACCTCAGCATTTAGTTCGCAAATGTCCCTTCCAAATGCCAGGGCTGAGTAAAACTTAAATTATTCTTTCCCCTCCAGAAAACCAAGTGTGGATCATGGGTAAGCCATGAACCTCTTGTTCTCAGACACAAAGGAAAAAAGTCACAGTGCACATTTGGACATACCTGTCCTCCACCAACATCCATCCCTACGCCCCATCTGGGCACACAAGTGACCGATTCACACCCGGGTTTGCCTGTCTGAGTCACACCTGGGCACCTCTAGGTGCACCCAAAACTGCCAATACTCTAAATTTCAAGCTTCTCTTGAGCCCCTATGTCCTCCACAGTCTTTCTATCTCTTTCCGCATTTGCCACAGAGGGATATCTTGCATTAGCAGAAAAAGCAGAAGCTAATGGTGATGAGGGAAATAAATAAAAGCTTGGTTCTGCTGTTTGGTCAGGCAGCTTACCGGTCACCACAGGGTACGTCTGGGGTCCTGACACATTTGTCCCCAGGTCTGGGTTAGCAGAGGTGGATAGACTTGATTTGACTTCATCGAGACCAGGGGTCAGAGCTGGGAGGGAGTACTCATTACCCTGGGGAAGAGAGGAGAAAGACAGCTCGCTATTGATGCGCCAGGAGAGAGGGAAGGGTGTACAGATGGGGGGGAGGAAGAGGAGAGATGCAAACCCCTGCACAGATGGAAGAGGAGGAGGAGGAAATGGAGAAGATGAAGTGACAAGAGGGTTGCAGGGGGTTCCTAGGATGAACTACCCCACCTGCCTGTGTGCCGCCGTGAAGGGGAAGAGGGGTGAGGGATCTGGCCCATTATCTGTGGTATGACTCGGCCTTCGTTCAGTGATGTGGGAATGGGGATGGCTGCCTATGCCAGCCCAGGGGAGAAGAAAAGGGAAATCCATGTACCCTCCTCTTGGCTGAGCAGAGGCGGGAGATGTTTGCCCTGGTGACAAGGACAGCAGGAGCAGGGGACTGCAATGACGTGACTGGGACAGGCGGGCTGTAGGAAGGAGACGGTGTTGGCCAACTGTAGACAGTACCTGAGTCGTCTGCCTCCCCTCCGCTGTTACCTCTGTCCTAGCTCTTTAAAAACAAACAAAGAAGCCTCATCCCCTGCCTCTGTCACTCTGTGCATTGGGGTATGAAATTGGGGAGGGGGGAGCCACATGGCTAACAGAAGGGTGGGAGGGGGAGAGCCATTGAATCTGAAAGGGTGTCCTGTCCGAAAGGCTCTGGTAATTGCCTTTTTATTGTGGCAGCCTCCGGACCAGACGTGGGAGCTGGAGAAACCAGGAAAGCTACAAAAACAGCAGGAAAAGTTGCTCTGATTAATATTACGTTAAATTAAAACTGATTTTCTGCTCTTTCTGCTCCATTTTTTTCCTTGTGCTTCCCCAACCCCCTCCCCACAGCTCCCCCTCCTCCAGTGGGCTCCCTGCATGCTGCCCCCTCCCCGCCCCTGTCCCTGCTTGGCTAGGACTGCCTAGTCATTTCCAATTCCTTCTCGTATTGATCTTCCTGTAGAAATCAGTTTTGTAATTAGCTGCAAATTAGGCCTTCTACTGGGGGTGAGCCTGCCCCCTGATTTATCACCAGAGTAATTCGCTGTGATCGGAGAGAAATTAAAATGAACTCAATTAGGCTTCGGATTTGCTTTATGGGCCCTGCTCAGAGTTTCAGGGGGAAAAATGACTGTGCTGGTGCTTAATAGTCTAATGAAAGTAAATAAAGGTTATTCATTGTAATAAACCCAGGGACTCTGGGATGAAGGGAGTCCACAGCCAGCCTCTCCTTCTCTTCCTTTGTTGGTTTATGGCTTGGGGCGGTTTAAAAAGACTTTTGATTTTCATTTTATTAAGACAAACAGCTTTTGGATAAAAGGCCGGGGAAGCGGGGGAGTAAGGGAAAGGGGGGGGCAGAGCTGCAGAAGTGCGGAAAACTGGGTTGGAAATGGGAGTCAAGCCTCAGCTTTGGGCCATGAAGGAAAATGCTCTCTTTAAAGCCCAACCCTGTGGCTCGCTGGTCACTGGTGTGCTCTGAGAGTGCAGGAGTTTCTGTGGCAGTGAATGTGCATGGCAGTGTTTGCATGCTCATGGCAAGAACATGCCAGCAGGGGTGCGTGCAGAGGGAAGGGCAGGCTTTAGGGAGAGCGCAGTGTGCGCGTACATGGCAAGTTCGTGAGAGGAGGTAGAGTTCGCGTATGCACACGGGTCAGCACAGCGATATATTTACAACTAGAAAGTGCTGTAAAATGTAAATGTGATATATGTGCAATAACAGGTCAGTGTGAGAGCAAGGGGTGAAGAGGGGGAGAGTGATTTCAGTGAGGGAATCTCCCTGCCGTCAGCCTATGGGTGTCTGGGGGTCCACATTTCCAGGCCGGGCCCTCACCTGCTCAGATTTGATGTGCTCTGATGTTTGAAAGACGTCAGGGTAAGAAGGACGCTCAAAAACTCGATCTAAAGCTTCCAGCTGCTGCTGGGTGAAAGTGTCGCCACGAAGGTGCTTCCGCAAACTGTCCACGCTGCTCTGGGAATCTCCATTGGGAACTGAGCCCTCGGATACATCTGCAGGGCACAGACAGAGAAAACAGGGAGTTAGCACCACCCTGGCTCAGATCAGCAAGGGATGCGGGACAAGGACAGAGCGGAAAAGAGCGGGGCCCTCTGCCTCCACCCAGGGAGCTGTGCTGCTCCTGTGGGAAGGGGAGGCTGTGGGGACCCGAGGGAAGCCCCCTCCTGTCTGCTGGAGAGGCTGGGCTGCTCCCACGGGCTCCATGGGACTCTCCTGCCCAGGGTGAGTGAGGCTGTGGAGAATGATGCTCGGCTCAGATATGAGTTTCGGTTCCGCTGATTTTCAGTGTTAAAAATTGCCAAATCTCCATTGCTGAGCATAAAATGGGAGCAAAGCGCAGCGATTAGCATCGCTAGAAGGCTACTGGAGAGGCAGCTGACAGCAAAACCAGAGTGCTGAGGATGGACCTGTGCTGGAAAGGGCTGAGGAAGCGTGGAATGGAGAAGGAGCTCTCTTACAGCTTGAAAGGGAGACAGTTTCTGCTGTAGCTCCCTGGTCCCAGTAGAAGTTATATCTCTGTTATAATTTCCTTCTCATTTGATCTTGTCCTGGTGTTCCCCAGATGAATCTTTCATCCCCCTCAGTTAACAGGAACGATCCCGTTTCTGACTCCATGTTGTATCAGAGACAAGTCTCACCCAGTGGACTGTCTGTCCCATCCAGCATACGTTGGTTTCTGTTATGATCTCTGTCCCATTCTCCTACAAGTATCTCGTCATTTATCACAACCCATATGTCTGTTATAAAACTCCCTCCAAAATGAGATGAATCTTTGTCTGTGTTGGTCCCCCTTCCTATCCAATATGAATTATCATATTACAAAACCTAGTCCTACTCAGTGGGAATCAGCCTTCCTGGTAATCCCTTGTTCTTACTAGGAAAAGAACCTTTTTCTGGTAGAAGCATGGCCAGAAGTGCATCTCTGTCCCTGCAACAGCCCTCTGACATAGCCCAATCTCACTGCAGTGCCCCTGCCATGTTCCAGGTATCTCTATCTCTACTTCTCCCCTCTGAGGTGAGTCTGTTATAAATGCCCTGTCCCATCCAAAGTGAATCTTTCCCTGTGATAAACCATCTTATCACCCACCTCGTTTTCGTTTTGGTTTGGGTTTTTTTTTTCCCTTTTTATCCCCCAACTCAAATGAGATGCATTTATCTCAGTTACAGCCCCCTTTTATCTGAAGTGAGTGAGTCTCCTGCTATTAGCATCTGTCACATCCAAGGTGAGTCTGTCTGTTATAGCCTCCTGTCCCAGCTGAAGTGAATCTTCCTTTGTCATAATCCCTCATCTCATCTGAGGCAAGTCTGCTCATTATCATCTTCTCCAACTGTGCAGAGTATCTTTCTGCTGTCACCTCTCAGCCCAACTTTGGTGAGACTGGTTATAATCCCCTGTCTCATCCATGCTGATATAGCTCCATCCCCTCCATGCTGAATTTCTACCCTACTGTGCTTCAGCAGACACAAGTCTGTCTTATAACCCTGTCTAACCTAATATCAGGTTTTCTCTCTTGCTCTGTGATTACCTTCCTGCTTTTAGACTATTATTCCTCATACTTCAGCCTTTCTTGGAGGCTGCCAGTCTGTGAATCTCAGAAACTTGCTGTCTGTCAAGAACGTGATTGAGGGATCTGTGTAGACCTTTTCCCTCCCAGCAGCCTGCAGTGGGATTTACTGTGCAATGGCCAGAACCATGCCACTCCGCTGCTTCATCTTTTAGCTCGTGGTTGGTACCAAGATGGGTATTTCCTGGCAGAGTTAATGCCCAACTGGTGGCCCAGAGTTATAACTGAGCCTGCTGCCTTCTGGCTGTGAGATATATCCGTTTATAGGTGATTATACGATATGATATAATCAATAGTACATTATATACAGTAACGTAGTACAGTACCACTCGCAAGACCATAGAAAATATTACATATTGATTTGTCCCAGCCAGCAGCTTTCCCTCGAGCAGCCCCTTCTCTTTCTTTTCCACCCCTAGCCAGAGCACGGTTTTTTACTGGCTTTGATCCCTGGCATTTTCTCCTCTCCTCAGTCTTATTTGCCCAAGGGTAAATTCTCAAGTTCCTGAAAGCTGGAGTTCATGACAGATTTGACTAAGAGAAAACAAAGCAAAGACCAGGCTTAGTGGACTGCACAATGTGTCTCAGCACGGTTTTCATGTTTTAGATGGACTGGGTTGTTACTGCAGGGGGTGGCTTTCAGGAGGATGAGTGGAGCTCCAGGCCCATGCTCCCAGTTCCAGTAGCACTTCTTCCTGGTCCTCCCTGCAGAAAGCGGGCACTGAACTCCTGGGTCTGGGCTCAGGAAAAAACCAAAAGGTATGTTTCTGTATCAGCGCTTGTCTCCACCTGTCTGTGAAGCCGTTTGCCTTTGAGGATTTTGCCACATGTGTCAGTCCATGTGCACACCGTGATGCTAAAGCACGTCGGTATTTTTGCAGTAGATCATTATTCTGGTATTCTTTAGACTCTGCATCACCATACATGCCTGAGCAGCCATTTGTCTGCTGCAGCTGGTTTAGGCTATTTTTGATTTTCAAGAATGGAAGCTCTACACTATGTGTGGTGTTCGGTGTGAGTGGATGGGTGTTCACATATACAGTAAAACTTCCACTGATAGTCATTAAACCGGATTTCACCCTTAATGAGCTGCCCTGGCTGGTTACACAGATTAGTGCACACATGCACATGCATTTGCAATTCCTGTCTGCCTGCAGAGCTCTGTGCACGTGTGTCTCCTGTGTGCGCACAGGCCATGCTTTTGTGTGAAGAAGCTGAAACCACAGCTTTCCCAAGTCGCTGTAGGAGTCTCTTTTCCTTCATTTATTCAGGGGCCCTTCAGATCTTGACAAATCTGTCACTCTAAATTTGCGAGAGATTATGGTGCTCTCTCCCTAGCATGGAGAGAGGTGATATATGATATCTGCTGCCCCTATTGATTGCCTGATCTGGTGGCAGAGGGCTGGCGAAATGAACTTGAAATGAACATCATGCCTCAACTCATTGTGCGTATAATACACTACTTAATCCCACATTTTTCAGCCGCTATGGAATTCAATTGATCAATCATGTCCCTCTGATAGTACTGTTTTAGGGGTTATTGCTGCTCTGCTCACTGACCTTTTTATTTATTTATTTATTTGTGTCAGCCTGTCTGTGTGTGTGTGCGTGCACGCATCTAAGTGCATATCTGTATTTGGGAAACTCAGGACCAGCTGGTAAGAAAGGACCTGTATAGTCAGTAAGAAATGAAAGAAAAGGATGAAGAGAGGAGAAAGGGAAAGAACGGGGTTAGATAAGAAATCAGAAGGATCAAAGCAAGGAAATAGATAGGGAGTGGTGAAAAAGTTGTAAGAAGAAAGGTGATGCTTTAGTTTAAGTGGGACTTCTGGATATAGGGTGAGGGGGGTGGCCTAAGCTTTAAAATCTACAACAGAAAAGAAGCCCTGGACAGAAGCCTATAGGCTACCTTGCAGTAGTATTGGACTTAATAATGGTAGGGCACACAAATCCCATACTTCACAGAGCAATAATATGAGCTGTGCATATGGATTTTACTTATGAAGTGGATAAAGTTTCACAGAGATTATCCTGAAAGACAGATTTATATGTCTTGTGTTGCTAACACTAAGACATTCACAGTCACAGATCATTATATTTTCTTCAAAACCAAAGGACTGTAAATCCCCTGTGTTTGTTTTCTGTTGTCAAGACCTATAGAGGATGTGTTTTCATTTTTTTCCCTGAAACTGCAAGGGATAGGCACTTATATCTGGTTTTAGATCAGAGTTGCAGTTCTCATCTCCGCATATGACTCTGTGAGCTGGACTATCAGGAGAAGCCTCAAATATTGTAATACGCAAAGTATGGGAGCTGACAACTGCATGGATATGAGCAAAGGTGACAGTAAAAAGCAGAGAGAGTTTGGGGCAGAGATGGGACCCATCAAAGGGCTGGAGGTGAAAGTGAGGGAAGGGGTTATGGGGAAAAACTGGCTTGGGAAAGACTAACAGATCCCATGAGGAATGGCTCTGTGGTGGGCAACAGTCATTTCAACTGATGAAGAACAGTGCAAGGAGTAAAAGCTTAGGGGATGGGGATTTGCCAAGAAAGCAGCTCTTGAAAAGGATGCTATGGTGAAGCAAGGCTTCAGCTGCAGGATGAGTCTGGGGATGCCACCAAGGTAACTGCACTAGCTGTGCCATCAGGAAGCATCATCACCTTTCCCAGTTCCCTTTTTACTGGCAAGGGGAACTGTGGTACTGTGACACAGGGACACCTCTCTTAAATCAGAAGGATCTTAACAAACAGCTTGAGTAGTGAACCACGGCCCCAGTCACCGTGTCCCTCACAAGAGCACACAGTTGCTGTCAGCATGATCAGGACTGGCCTTGCACATGTGACAGGAAACATCTCTCCTCCCGAGGGGCTGCCGAGGGAGCGCACACAGCCAATGTTCTGCGTAAACCTTCGACACAAGACACAGAAATGCTCCCCGGATGTCACAGAAGTATCCTGACAGATAACAAGGAAATGCTGTGCCAGAGGACACAGGAACAACCTTAACTACATCTGACACAGTGAATATGTCCATTAAATAGCTCCAAAACAAAGAGATGTTCCCAGGTCTGGAAGCCACAAAGACACCATCATGTACAAGTAGCACAAAGCAGCATAATACAGTTACTTCCCTCACTACAAGTGACAGAGATCACCCTTGCTCAGGGTAGGACACGGTCATCTCAACAAATAACTCGAAGTATTGCTAACACAGGAAGACCTTTGTGGCACAGAAACATGTAGACGGGTCATGAGAAGCTGTGCAGCCGGCACACAAACGTGGAGATGCTGTTGGCTTTCGGGGCAGAGCTTATTACCACTCCTGTGACGTGTCCTGCCAGATGCCTCGTGGGGCCCTGATCTCAGCTGGGGCCTCCCAGCACTATCAATAAAAACCACAGTCATAATAAAAGCGAATGTGACTGGCA